TGTCTGGGCTCACTGGAATCATGCAGTCATTTCTGGCAATGGGGAATGCAGTGGGGGTGGGGTGGTGACCATGCGAGTGGCATGGACACCTTACATTTCTATCTTTATGCTAGGGGCTGGCCATGGTCACATTTGTCAGAAATGGGTACGAAATAAGAAATGACTGAGTGGGCCCAAGGGGCTCATCTGGAGTAAAAAGCATGTATTTTTTAACTGCTCAGAGGCTGTTGATTTGTTTACCTTCTGATTCTTAGAGGGGTTTAGATGGATAAGGATACCAAGTAGCTGAGTTCTGGCTAAGTGGTTTTTGTTTTTACTGTGATTAGGAATTCCAAGAAACTATTCTTGTATTTTCTTCCTTGTTATTTTCTATTAACAAAGAAGAATAAAGCTATATTATACAGTCTGGGAAGTTTTTTGAGGAAATTAAAGAAGTCATTTATTCAGGGAACTCATTAATGAGGAAGACAATAAATAAATGAAACAAAAACATAACTAGGTTCTGGGGTGCTTAGGGTGCTCAGTTGGTTAAGCGACTGCCTGCGGCTCAGGTCATGATCCTGGAGTCCTGGGATCGAGTCCCGCATGGGGCTCCCTGCTCAGCGGAGAGTCTGTTTCTCCCTCTGACCCTCCCCCTCTCATGCTCTCTCTCTATCTCATTCTCTCTCTCCAATAAATAAATAAAATCTTTTCAAAAAAGAAAAAATATATATGTATAATATATACATATACATAAAAACCCATAGTTATATATATGCACATAAATACAAGTGTACATATATATATATACACACACAAGTATGTGTCTATCTATCATCTATCTTCTATCTATCATCTATCTATCTATCTATCTATCTATCTATCTATCTATCTATCTATCTATCAAGAGGTGGGTCTACAGCCAGAAGGCTTGAGCTTGAATCCCAGGTTTACCCCTTATTACCTTTATGTGATCCTTAAGACATGGTTTCCTAATCTGTAAAATGAAAGATAATATGTGCTCTGCATAGCTCAAGGGCTTGTTATGAAAATTAAATGAGATAATGTAAATGCTTTATAAAATGTTATTTGAATTTTTGACCGTATGTGCTAAATACTGGGTGTGCTGATACTGAGGTATAAGACTGGTTAAAGTGAATGGGTTCACATGGAAGAGACTAGAAAGGCTTTGTTGCTGAGGCGAGTCTTAGCCTGAATTTGAGGTGGAGGAAAGCTGATCAGTCGATGGGGGAATCCCATGTGCATTGTTTCAGAACTGGGCCAGGGTAAAATCTATAGATTTACTCGGCGGTAGAAAAGCTCACGAGAGCCTGTGTGTTAGGCAGTTTTTGAAGGTGCAGTTTGTGGTGGACATTAACTCCATGATTAGGAGCTTTAATTTTATCTCAGAGGTAATTAAGCCACACTGCTGAGCTCTGGGAAGGGGTGTTATCTGAGGTCAGCAGCAGCTGGTTGAGCACTAGCTTTGGCCTAATTTGAAGCTAAAGAACAGCAGAAGATTACGGAGATTAAACAAAAATATAGCCCTCAATCCTCTGTTTTACCACTTCCTAAAATGATCTTTTAAAGTGTTTGGCGGCTTAATTCAGGTGGCATCCTCAGCCTAACCATTTAGAGAAGAATGGTGATTGCTTTCCTGGCCATCTTCATCATTAAAGAGTGATATATATTGCTAATAAGTACCATTCAAACCATCAGCAGCATGGTAGCATGGAAGGGGTACTGGGCTAGCATAGTCTGAGTTCTAACGCTAAGGTTGACTGGAAATTCAAGGAGAAACGAAATAAAGGAGTTAAGTTGCAGGTGACATGATCACAGGGGTTTTTTTGTGCCTGAAGTCTATGTTTGTAGTATACCTGTGTTGTGAAAGGCACCAGGCTAGGTGCTGTTTGGGCTATAAAATGTGAAAGGGTTACATGCCTTATCCTCAAGAAGCTTATTGGTTAATGGAAAAAAGAAGCATATATATAATCGTGATGACAATGGGATGATGGTGATGATGATGATCAGAGCACAGGTAAGTGCAGGCAAGAGGTAGGAGAAAAGTACAAAAAAGGGATAAATAATAGTGGAGCTAGATGAGTAATAGAGCATTTCCCGTACCCTGGACACTAATTGTTTTTCTTCAATACGCAGTTTGAATCCCTATTAACACATTATAAACAGTAATTAAGGCTTGAGGCTCCTTAGAGGTATAAACTTAGAGGAATTTACCACAAACATCTGATTCTGTATAGAACCATAAAAAAAAATTTTTTTTAAAGTAAGGGATTTCAGAATATTTATTCCAAAACTGTTAATTCATGGATTAGGAAACCAAGGTGAAAGAGATAATGATTCGATGTAAAGGCAGAACCAGAAAATTTGGTTTTCCTAGTCCTTAATCCAGTACTCACCTGTCATGCTGGGTTTGACAAGACTTTTACAAGGGATATTTATAGGGAGCATAATTCCTTAATTTTTTGTTACGTCAAGAAAGTGGTAACACTTTGGTGCCTTTAAAAGGCTGAGTCAGAGGACTGCCTCTTCACCTGGTAGATAGGGTCCTGGTGGATTCATGAATCATTTAATAAAGCCAGTTAGATCTTCAAATTAAAAAAGAAAGGCCAGGGACACCTGGGTGGCTCAGTCGGTTAAGCATCTGCCTTCAACTCAGGTCATGATCTCAGGTCCTGGGATCGAGCCCCACATCAGGCTCCCTGCTCAGCGGGAAGCCTGCTTCTTTCTCTCCCTCTGCCTGCCACTCCCCCTGCTTGTGCTCTCTCTCTCTCTCTCTGTCAAATACATAAGTAAAAATATTTAAAAAATAAAAAAAGAAAGGCCAAGTCAGACATTTCTGTATTTTTATTGCTGTTATTCCCTTGCAAACTTTATAAAAATTAAAGTTCAAAAAAATACGTGTATTTTTTTTTTAGAAATTTGAAGTGCGTGCATTTTGTCTACTTTTAAAATTTGGATCATATTATTTTTTCATTTTGCTTAGTTAAAATTTGGTAAGTAAAGCATGTAGGAACCTGAAAGCAATGTAGCTCTATATGTGTGATTGGTAGAAAAACCATGGATAAGAAACAAAATGCTTGGAATCAATATCCAAGAATCTATTCGGTGTAAATCCGAACTGATTCAGTAGGTAATATTGCAACAGTATTGAATAGTCAGCAAGATTGATTTTGTATTTAATTCTGTCATGAGATCTGAATAAACAAGTTTAAAATAACTAAGTTCACAACACAGACTTGCTAAAAAGAGGTATTCATAATTGAGGGGAGGCCGGGATGTTTCAATAGTACATCACGCAGGTGTTTTTCAAAGTGTGTTGTGAAGACTCTTGGCAGCAGAATCACTCTGATTCAGTTGAAAATGCAGATTCCTGAGCCTTTCTCTTGATTCACCAAGTCAGAATCTAGAGATTCTGCCAGGGAGTCTCAATGCACACCAGGGACATTTTCAAGAGTGAAAAAATGTTTTTACTGTGTCATGGTGTTATTGGTCAAGAGGAATGTTTAGTGACTTGGAATAGAAGGAAATTGGTAGAGTCAGAGTGAGGAGACATCTTTATAAGTAGATAAACAGAGACCAGAGGAACAACCCTACATGGAGAATGGTCTCAGCTTCTTGCACAGCTGAGCTCAGGCTCTCGCTGGTTTGTTCCCTATGCCATTCACAGTAAGACTGTGTTTTTAGCAGTCCTTCCGTTGGGTCCTTAGCTCTTCTCATTATTCACAGACTCTCATTGATCTCAACCCTGCCTTGACTCGGGATCCATGACCCCAGTCTTCCCCTGCTGTCACCTCTTGCCAGAGTTCTGACCTCTGTATCTACTTGGATCCTGAAATCTGCCCTCAGACTCAGGATTAACTCTGTATTTCCCAGAACTTTTTACAAAGGTCCTGTCATTGTTAAAATTGGGGAAAAGTAAGAAGGAACAAAATTGGAATAGGGATATATGCGTTACTAGTTTGTCTCTTGACTCTGGCTCTGAAAATCAAAGGTACAAAGTTGTCCATTTATTGTTCCATGTATCTGGCTAATCCAGCCCCAGCACCTACCTCACTAAACAGATTTTACTATTTTCACTGGGCTATTTTGTAAAACATGGTATACCACCAGCAATGGACTCAGAAATTTGGGGATAAGACATATGGCAGTGGTATATTTTGAGTCTGAAAGATGTTGTTCTTTAAATAAGGATCCTAAAAAACAGCTAAATATATATATAGATTGGACCTATAACTATTATACTTAAAAAAAGATGTTCTTAGGATTAAAGATTTTTGTTTCTTAAACAGATATTTCATTTTCAGAAGTTTTGTTTATGTGCTTTATTATTTTTCTTTTTATGAAAGCAAACCAGAATGAGTGAAATAAAGGGGATTAAGAGTACTCTTATCTTGGTGAGCACTGAGAAATGTATAGAATTGTATAGGTATAAATATACATACATATAAAATAAGTAAAGCAGAGGGGCGCCTGGGTGGTATAGTCGTTTAATTGCCTAACTCTTGGTTTCCACTCAGGTGGTGGGCTCAGGTCATGATCTCAGGGTTGTGAGATCCGGCTGGGCATCAGGCTCATTTTCAACCCAGAGTCTGCTTAAGACTCTCTCTCCCTCTCCCTCTACCCCTCCTCCTTGCTCTCTCTCCTTCTCTCTCTTTCTAAAATAAATAAATAAATCTTTATAAAAAATAAGCAAAGCAGAATGAAAAAGCTACTAGTGTTTAGTGTTTACAACCCAAGGAATGAAATCTCCAGCTAATTAGGATGTCCAATCCTGACTGCTTTGGTAGGAATAATACAATTAGAGAAATAAGTGGGCTGCATCTCTGAATGCTTCAGAATCCAGGCTAACACAGTTTGGCTCCAGAGCAGTGCCACCACGGGGAAAGACAGCACCCCTGCTCCTGTCGAGGGGAAATTAGACTTCTAAGAACCACAATGGGATCAAGCAGTGTCCCCGTCAAAATACATCTCCACTCCAAGTAAACCATCTTCTCTTTTAGATCAGAAACCCTGCAAATGGAGGAAAGGTAACTGCAGAGGTAGCATGTGTGGTCAAGACTCGAAGTCCCATTTGTGCACATGTGCGGAGGGATATACTTTAAGCCAAGATGGAAAGTACTGTGAAGGTAACGTGCAGGGGGGTAGCTACCTAAAGCAAGGACAGCCCACCTGAGCCAGTGGCTGCTCTTCAGTGGGTCATCCAGAGCCTTGAAGCAAAACAACTTGAGGATCCCCCCCATTTTTCCCCAGAAAAATTATTTTTTTCTTCTGTTGTTAAAGCCTCTGTAATAACTTTCAGATCTTCTTTATGTGCTGTGTTCCTAGATCCAATACTCTTAGAGGCTACTCAGAGCTTGATATACGGCAGGGATTCTCTGAGTGGACACCACAAACCTCTGTGGGTTTGACAGTATGCAAAATGTCAGTATTTTCAAATTTTTGCAGTTCCATAGCTATCATTAGATCTTCAAAGAGTAAGTGACTCCTACACCACATCCCATAAAGTCTGGCAGGAATCTTGAGAAGCTACGCACCAAGACTGTTTATCTGGGGCTCCTCCTATTTTGAGGCTTCAGGCCCAATTCAATGAACCCGGGAGAAATACTGTGTTCTTTCACCTGGGAGGTGGGTCCAGTGGGTTACTAATGAAAAGCATCCAATGGCTGTTAGCACACATTCAGTAGAATTAGTTGGGGTGTGATGTCAGGTAAATCTGACATTGAAGTATAAGTTAAGTATATGTCTCCTGCTCACCTGGGACTACTGGGGCGAGAGCTATAGCATAGAACAGTGGCCTGGAAGGCTGGGTTTCAACCGGAGTGAAGCTGCTGGGGAATGTACCCACATTCAGGTGAAGGGCTCCTGTCAGCTCTGAGAAGACTTTCAAGAGTCCCTGCCTTCAATGGCTACATCTTTTCATGGGAAATTGTACTACTTTTTCCTGAAGGCAATTCTAGTATGAAAATACAGATATATTTGAAAGTTTAAACTGTGACAGTAAAAATGGCTGTCATGACAATTGAACTGACTTCTTTCATTCTTTGCGAGGGTAGCAAAAACAGTCTTTCCATGGTCAGTTACAGCAAATTCAAGTGTGAGATATTCTACTTTGTGCTGACTTAATAGCAATATTACAATTTATTTTAAAAAATAACTATGTTTTACTGTTGTCATTGTATAGATGTCAATGAATGTGCCTTTTGGAATCATGGATGTACTCTCGGATGTGAAAACATCCCCGGATCTTATTATTGCACATGCCCTGTAGGATTTATTCTGCTTCCTGACGGGAAACGGTGTCATCGTAAGTATTTATTGCATTTTTTTCTTTCATTTTCAGTGATGTTTCCAAGGTGGCTATGATCTGGGTTGTTGGTCCTTGATCAGCAGTATGCATCAGAATTACCTTGATGTTTTATTATGTACATGAATGACAGGACCACAGACCTATTAAATCAAAACTTCTAAGGTTCGGAAACAAGTATATAGATCTCTCTATATATATATTTCTTGTTTCTTTATCCATATTTTCTTATGTCTCTCTGAAAGATAAGTGTGTAAAAACATAATCGTGATACATTATTATATCTAAAACACTAGCTGTAATTCCCTGCTATCATCTATTATCCAGTTACTTTTTGGGTATAATCACAATACCATTGTCACACCTGAAAAAATTAGCAGTGATTCCCTAATAACACCAAATGTCTAGACAGTGCTCAACTTACCTTAAAAAGTTTTTTTAAACAGTTGAATTGTGTGAATAACCCTCCAGACAAGGGCAATGTGTTTTATTAGCTTAATACTTCTCTTTTATTCTACAGATTCCCTCACCTCTGTTTTTTTCTCCTTTCAAGTATTTGTTGAAGAAACTGTTTTTTTCCCCTGTGGCTTCTCACATTTTGGATTTTACTGATCGCACTTCTGTGATGTCCCTGGCTTTCTGCAAACTTGTAGTTAGATATAAAGGCTTGAGCAGATTCAGCTTTGACATTTTTTTGGCAGGAATACTTCCTAGGTGTGTTTATACTTCCATCAGGAGACACATAATATCTGGTCATTTCTCTTTCTGTCATCCATTATAAAGTTCCTCAATAGTCTTTTATTTTTCTTTTTTAAACAAGCTCTGGCCAGTTTTTTTTTTTTTTTAAGATTTTATTTATTTATTTGAGAGAGAGAGATAGCAAGAGAGAGCATGAGCAGAGGCAGGGGGAGAGGGAAAAGCAGGGTCCCTGCTGAGCAAGGAGCCCGATGCGGGACTCAGTCCCAGGACCCTGGGATCATGACCTGAGCCAAAGGCAGACGCTTAACTGAGTGAGCCACCCAGGTGCCCCTGGCCAGTTTTAATAAAGAAAAATTTTGCATGATTTACTTTTCACTAGTCTGTTCTGGCATATTTCTTTCTTTTTAAAAAATATGTGTTTTGCTTTATTTTTATTCTTTTAAAAAATTTCCAGTATAATTAGCATACAGTGTTATATTAGTTTCAGGTGTACAATATAGTGATTCAGCAATTCTATAAATTACTCAATGTTCATCAAGATAAGCATACTCTTAGTCCCCTTCACCTATTTCACCCATGGTTCCACCGATCTCCCCTCTGGTAACCATCAGTTTGTTCACTATAGTTAAGAGTCTGTTTCTTGGGGAGCCTGCTTCTCCCTCTGCCTGCAGCTTCACCTGCTTGCACTCTCTCACTCTGACAAATAAATAAAATCTTATAAAAAAAAAAAAGAGTCTGTTTCTTGGTTTCTCGTTTTCTTTGTTCATTTGTTTCCTAAATATTACATATGATAAATTCATATGATATTTGTCTTTCTCTGACTTATTTCACTTAGCATTATACACTCTAGATCTATCCATGTTGTTGCAAATGGCAGGATTTCATTCTTTTCTATGGCTGAGTAATATTCTATTTTATATATATATTTATATATACATATATATAAATATATATATCACTTCTTTATCCATTCATCTGTTGATGGACACTTGAGTTGCTTCCATAATTTGGCTATTGTAAATAATGTGACAGTAAACATAGGGGTGCATGTATCTTTTTGAATTAGTGTTTTTGTATTCTTTGGGTAAATACCCAGTAGTGGAATTACTGGACCATAGAGTAATTCTATTTTTAATTTTTTGAGGAACCTCCATACTGTTTTCCACAATGGCTACACCAGTTTGCATTCCTACCAACAGTGCACAAGGGTTCCTTTTTCTCTACGTTCTTGTTGTTTCTTGTATTTTTGATTTTAGCCATTCTGACAGGTATGAGGTGATATCTCATTGTGGTTTTGATTTGCATTTCCCTGATGATGAGTGATGTTGCACATCTTTTCATGTGTCTGTTGGCCATCTGGATGTCATCTTTGGAGAACTATCTGTTCAGGTCTTCTGCCCATTTTTTAATTGGATTATTTGTTTTTTGGGGCTTTGAGTTGTACCAGTTGTTTTTATATTTTAGATACTAACCCCTTATCAGATATGTCATTTACAAATATCTTCTCCCATTCAGTAGATTGGTTTCTTTTTGTTTTGTTGATTGTTTCCTTTGCTATGAAAAAGCTTTTCTTTTGATGTCGTCCAGTAGTTTATTTTTGCTTTTGGTTCCAATGCCATATCTAGAAGAAATATTCTATGTCACAGAAATTACTACCTGTTCTCTTTTCTAGTGTTTTTATGGTTTCAGGTCTCACGTTTAAGTCTTTAATCCATTTTGAGTTTATTTTTGTATATGGCAAAAGAGAGTGGTCCAGTTTCATTCTTGCATATAGCTGTCCAGTTTTCCCAACACCATTTGTTGAAGAGACTGCTTTTTCCCATTATATATTCATTCCTCTTTTTTCAAAGATTAATTGACCATATAATTGTGGGTTCATTTCTGGGTTTTCTATTCTAGTCCATTGATCTATGTATCTACTGTTATGCCAGTATCATACTGTTTTAATTACTACAGCTTTGTAATATAACTTGATGTCTGGAATTGTGATACCTCCAGTTTTGTTTTTGTTTTTCAGGAAGTCTATGGCTTTTCAAGGTCCTTTATGGTTCCATACAAATGTTAGGATTATTTGTTTTAGCTCTCTGAAAAATGCTGTTGGTATTTTGATAGGGATTTCATTAAATCTGTAGATTACTTTGGGTTTTAACAATATTTGTTCTTCCTATCCATGAGCATGAACCATCTTTCCATTTGTGTCATCTTCAGTTTCTTTCATCATTGTTTTCACAGGACAGGTCATTTACCTCCCTTCATTAAATTTTATTCCTAGGCATTTTATTATTTTTGCTGTGATTGTAACTGGGATTATTTTCTTAATTTCTCCTTCTGCTACTTCATTATTAGTGTATAGAGATGCAATGGATTTCTGTATATTAATTTTATATCTTATGGCTACTGAATTTGCTTATCAGTTCTAGAACTTTTTTGGTGGAGTCTTTAAGGTTTTCTGTATAGAGTATCATGTCATCAGCAAATAGTGAAAGCTCTACTACTTTCTTATTAATTTGGATGCCTTTTATTTATTTCCTTTTTTTTTTTTTGGTCTGATTGCTGTAGCTAGGACTTCCATTTCTATGCTGATTAAAAGTGGCAAGAACAGACATCCTTGTCCTGTTCCTGATCTTAGGAAAAAAGCCCTCAGTTTTTCACCATTATGATGTTAGCTGTGGGATTTTCATATATGGCCATTATTATGTTGAGGTATATTTCCTCTAAACCTACTTTGTTGAGGGTTTTTATCATGAATGGATGTTGTACTTTGTCAAATGCTTTTCCTGCATCTATTGAAATGATCATATGGTTTTTATCCTTTCTCTTGTTGATGTGATATATCACATTGATTTGTGAATATTAAACCACACTTGCGCCCCAGGAATAAACCCCACTTGATTGTGGTGAATATTTTTTTAATGTACTATTGGATTCAGTTTGCTAATATTTTGTTGAGTATTTTTGCAGAGATATTGGCCTGTAGTTCTCTCTTTTTTTTGTAGTGTCTTTATCTGTTTTTGATTATAGTTTAGGGTAATGATGCCTCAGATTGAATTTGGAAGCTCTCCTTCCTCTTCTAGTTTTTGGGAATAGTTTGAGAAGAATAGTTATTAACTCTTTAAATGTTTGGTAGAATTCATCTGTAAAGCCATCTGGTCCTGGACTTTTGTTAGTTGGGAATTTTTGATTATTGCTTCCATTTCATTGCTGGTAATCAGTCCATTCAAAATTTTCTATTTCTTCCTGATTCAGTTTTGGGGGTTACATGTTTCTAGTAATTTATTGATTTCTTCTAGGTTGTCCAATTTTTTGGCATATAATTTTTCATTATATTCTCTTATAACTCCTGTATTTCTGTGGTGTTGGTTGTTATTTCTCCTCTTTTCATTTCTGATTTTGTTTATTTGAGTCCTCTCTCTCTCTCTTTCTCTTTTATGAGTCTGGCTAGAGGCTAATCAATTTTGTTAATTTTTTTCAAAGAACTAGCTCCTGGTTTCATTGACCTGTTCTATTGTGTTTTTTTGTTTGTTTTTGTTTTGTTTTGTTTTTTTAGTTTCTATTTTGTTTAGTTTTTCTCTAATCTTTATTATTTCCTTCTTTCTACTGGTTTTGGGTCCTGTTTTTGTTCATTTTTTTCCCTCTAGCTCTTAGGTGTAAGATTAAGTTGTGTATTTGAGACTTTTCTTGCTTCTTGAGCTAGACCTGCATTGCTATAATCTTCCCTCTTAGAACAGCTTTTGCTGAATCCCAAAGATTTTGGACTGTGTGTTTTCATTTGCATTTGTTTCTATGTGTCTTTTATTTCCTATTTGATTTCTTGGTTTACCCATTCATGGTTTAATAGCATGTTATTTAACCTTTATGTATTTGTGTTTTTTCCAGGTTTTTTCTTGTGGTTGATTTCTAGTTTCATAGTGTTGTGGTCAGAAAAGATGTATGGTATGACTTCAGTCTTTTTGAATTTGTTGAGACTTGTTTTGTGTTCTAACATGTGATCGCTTCTGAGAATGATCCATGTACACTTGAAAGGAATGTGTATTCTGCTGTTTTAGGATGGAAACTTCTGCATATATCTGTCAGATCCATCTGATCTGATGTGTTAAAAATACCACTGCTTCCTTGTTGATTTTCTGTTTGGATGATCTAGCCATTGACATAAATGGGTTGTTAAAGTTCCCCACTATTATTGCATTACAACTGATTACTTCCCTTATGTTTGTTATTTGGTGCTTTATGTATTTGTTGGGTGCATAAATACTTACAATTATTAATTCTTCTTGTTGGATTATTCCCTTAATGATTATGTA